GACAGGTGGCCATGATTTGAAATTTCTTTTCTAATTTTCTATAAATTTGGAATGTATAAAAAAGAGAATAAATGAAATATTAAAATTAATATTTTAATCCTAATATTAAAACTAATTTTTAACCTAAATGTAAAAATGTAAAAGTTACCGTCAATCACCTCTCCTCTTCAACTGTCCTCCCCCATTCACTTTTGAAACTCTCATCCTCCTTCGTTCTTCCTCAATAAACCAGGGGCAGATCTATGTGGCCCACAAGATAGCATCTGTATACTTATTTTATTTTAAAAAATATCAATAGTTAATAATTATATTAAAAATAAAAAATTATATACACCTTTTTCATTTGTATTTAACTTTTTTATATAAATTTTTTGTTGTTGAAATTTATGCACACTCTTTCTATTAGTTTCAACGTTTATTTGTCATAAGAGCTATAGAACAAATGTGTTTTATTTTATTGGGAAGAATTTAATCTGATTGTATTTTTTTCAAATTTAAAAAGTTTAAAAGTTGAAAAAAAAAAGGTTGACCATCTTTCTTTTTATTGGGGCACTTAGTCAAATAAGTTAGTAGGTTATATAGTTAATTAAAACAAGGGTAAAGTATAGTAATGGTCATTGAATATTTCTGAAGCTTGCATTTAGGTCCTCCAACTTTTAAAACTTGCAATACAGTCCCCCAACATTTATTTCGTTTGCAATATGATCCCCAACTTAAATCACTGTTAGAAATTAGGGTAAATTATATAAAAGGTTATTGAACTTTTCAGACACTTGAATTTAGGTCCCCCCAAATTTTAAAACTTGCAAAGCAGTCCTCAATTTCATGCTAAACCCTAATTTCCAAAGTAATTCAATTTCATTCTAAACCCTAAATTCCAAAATAATTCAATTAAATTCAATTATGTCAGATTTATTATTATTTAATTTCATCTTATTTCATGTGATACGTATTTTTTATATAAATATAATAGTATAATTCTTATCTGTTGAAGAAATTTTTTAATTAAAAAAGTAGTTAGGATATAGAAGAGGTTGAAAATAATTCGAATTTTAAATTTATAAAATGTTATTTTGACGTATAAATAAAAGTGTAAACTACTAGGTTGACAACTTAACTATCTAGCCCTTTTTACTTTTGTCATCGATCTTTTAAATTTATCAATCATACAACATAATTATTTAACTGTTTCAACTAAGCCACTAGTCGTTACCAATTGATACAAATGATGAAGTGGCAGTTAAAAGGAATTGATATTATACATTCAGTCTTTATTATTTATATAATCAATTTGGTCCTAAATAAAATAGAATTTAATAAATTAATCATTTAATTAGGATCTGACATGTGTTAGCACATGATCATGACACGTGTCATTGGTGACACATGTCACCACCTAATTATTTATATATGCTATCAATTTGGTCCTAAATTAAATAAAATTTAATAAATTAATCATTTAACCAGGACCTGACATGTGTTAACACATGATCATGATATATGTTATTGGTGACACATGTCACCACCTAATTAGAAGAAAATTAAGTTACAAAGAAGTAAAATTTGGGTCTTGGGCAAACTCAAACCTGAGTCACGCAAATGAAAGATACAGGGTGGAGCCACTAAACTAACACCATCGTTTGTGTTAAGAGATATACAATAATACTATACTAATAGTATGACCAATGCCAGAAAAAAAGAATATAATGGAAAATGGAAATAATGAGATTTGAACTTCGGCAAAAAATTTGAAAGCAATAAATGATGGGAAAATATTATATTTTTTACAATAAAAAATATTATATTTGATAAATTGTTTGATAGATTTAATATATTTTTTAAATATTAGTTGATACAATATTTTAAAAGAATAAATTTAAGGTTTATATATTTTTAAACTTAATTTAATAATTATATTTTTCATATTTATAATTCATGATTATATATATAATCTTAAGTTGAGTATTTCTAATATAATTAATAATTTTAATTTCTTATTAAAAATAAAATATTCAAAAAATATAAATGATTCATACATTAATATATGAATATTTTTTTTATTTATACATCTAAATATAAATATACATTTATATAAATATATTTTTATTCGTATATTGAAATATTTTGATTAAAATATAAACATATTTTAAATACTAGTTTATACAAGAAAAATAAAATATATCAAAAATATAAATGATTCATACATTTAAATATAAATTGAATCATTTATATTTTCTATACATCTATATTTAATAAGAAAATAAAATTATTGGGGGACTGTTTTGCAAGTTTTAAAAGTTGGGGACCTAAATTCCAGTGCCTGAAAAGTTCAATGACCATTTATATAATTTACCCTAATTTTCTAACAGTGATTTAAGTTGGGGAACATATTGCAAAATAAAATATATCAAAAATATAAATGATTCATACATTTAAATATAAATTGAATCATTTATTTTCTATACATCTATATTTAATAAGAAAATAAAATTATTGGGGGACTGTATTGCAAGTTTTAAAAGTTGGGAGATCTAAATGCAAGCTTCAGAAATGTTCAGTGACCATTACTATACTTTACCCTTAAAACAATTATATTGAGTACTGTGACATTTAGATGAAATTATCAAAACACTCTCGATTTTGGATCCTATTTTTTAATTCTTGGATCCGTTAAATCCATTGAAAGCAAAAACCCTAAACGCACTAACCCACCACAAAGCTTCAAGAAATGGCTGCTGCTTTCAGTGGAAGCCGATTCAAGGATTTCCTCAAGAAATACGGGAAAGTGGCACTTGGCGTCCACTTCTCAGTTTCCTCCGCCTTCATAACCGGCCTTTTCGTGGCAATCAAGCAGAACGTCGAAGTCGAATCATTGTTCGACAAGTTACATCTCTCGGGCTTCTCCTACGACCAAAACCCGTCTGCACAATCAAATGGATTTTTTTATGGAAGATTCAAGGGTCGAGGAGAAGCAAAGGAATCGGACGGCTGAGCTTGCTGCTTCCACTGGCGGAGCTCCTGCATTGGCTGTGATTTGTAACAAGGCATTGTTCCCTGTTCTTGTTCCGTTCACCATCGCGCTCACGCCTCCCATTGCTAGGTTTTTGGGTCGGAGGAGGAGAAGAGAATGGGGGAGGAAGAGAGTTTCAGCAGAAAATGGAGGAGGGGATCGTGCTAATTTTAGGGGTGTTTAATTCACGGAATATAAGATTATCAATAGGAATGTAAGATTATTAGTAGGAATGTAAGATTACTAGATAATAAGATTACTGAAAATCTTGTATTTTGTGTTTGGTTGGTTTAGTAGGAATGTAATCTTTTTTAGTTTGGTTAAAGAAATAAAAGATTATTAGAATATATATTTAACCAAATTATCCTTATTATATTTTTTTTTAATAAGTTGAAAAATATTTATATATATATTTTAAAAAATTTAAATTCATAAAATTTATATTTTTTAAAAAAAATTGTAAATATAAAAATATTTAATGAAAGGGTAAAATTTTATTTTAATCTTTAAACTTTATATAAAATTTTAATTATATATTTTTTATAAATCTAAAATAGTTTAAGAATAAATTTGTAATTTAATATTTGTAGAATTTTTATTATTTAATGACAGAAGAATAATATTTTGAATAAAAAAATTTAAGGGCATTTTAGTTCAAAACGCTGGTAATCCAACAATACATATGGAAATGGAGGTAAAGACATTCCCGATAATATACCTCAAAAAAATCTACTATCCGTAAAATATTACCAGGAATGAAATTCCCGGCCAACCAAACATGAGAATATGGATTTTATTTCTATGAGAATTCCACATTCCTTGATTCAAACATCCCCTTAGGTTTTTTAGTTTTAGGGTGTATTTGGTTGGGGGAATGGAATCCACATTCCCCCGTTTGGTTGGCCGGAAATGTCATTCCCGGTAATCTTACATTACCAATAGTGTATTTTTTTGGGTATATTACCGGGAATGTCATTACCTCCCTTTCCTTAGGTATTGTTGGATTACCGGCGTTTTTGGACTAAAATGCCCTTAAAAAAATTTCTTTAAAAAATATTCTTATTCTGTCATTGAATAATAAAAATTATAAGAAGATTAAATTACAAATTTATCATTAAATTATTTTAGATTTACAAAAAAAAATTCTATAATTAAAATTTTATATGAAGTTTAGGTGTTAAAATAAAATTTTACCATTTCATTAAAACTTTTTATATTTTTAATTTTGTAAAACAAATTATATAAATTTTATGAATTTAAATTTTTAAAAAAAATATAAATATTTTCCAACCTGTTAAAAAACAAATATAATAAAGACAATTTTGTTAAATATACATTTCAATAATCTTTTATTCATTTAACAAAACACAGTAATCTTACATTCATGCTAAACCAACCAAACACAAAATACAACATTCACAGTAATCCTATTCCCTAGTAATATTTTATTCCCACTGGTAATCTTACATTCCGTGAACCAAACGCACCCTTAGGTTAAAAGATTAGTTTTAATATTAGGATTAAAATATTAATTTTAATATTTTATTTTTTATATATTTGAAATTTATAGAAAATTAGAAATGAAATTCAAATAATGATCACGTGTCAACAAATGAATAGATAATGATTTTCATTTAACGATCGTTACGGTTTAAACGGTAATATTTATAACGTAAGGTACCTAAATAGATTGAAAATACTTTAAATACTTATTCGTGAAAATAATTATAGTGTAGAAACTTTTTTTTTATACTTAAATCTTTAAAAAATGAAATTCCAAATTAAAATATTTAATATATATATATATATATATATATATAAACTAAAATAATTACATAAATAAGAGTATGTGATTACAATTTTATTGACTCAAAATATTCGTCCCTCTTTTAACGCATGGGTCATAACTAAAAAAAGGATCAAAATGGAAATGCAATATATGTCTAGGACCGAAATGCGCCTTAATATATGAATTAGTAGATAAGAACCCTTCCCCTGTTTTTTAAAAGAAAGCACCCTATTTTCAAAAAAGAAAAAAAAGTCCTCGAAATCTCGTTCAAAACAACCCTAAATCATGGGTCAGGGAACACCCGGCGGTCTGAATCGGCAAGGCTTTCCAGGGGACCGGAAACAGGATGGATCTGATAAAAAGGAGAAGAAATTTGAGCCGGCGGCACCTCCAGCCAGGGTGGGTCGTAAGCAACGAAAACAAAAAGGACCCGAAGCGGCGGCGCGTATCCCGACTGTGACGCCGCATACCAAGTGTAAGCTCCGGCTGTTGAAACTGGAGCGGGTCAAGGACTACTTACTTATGGAAGAAGAGTTCGTTGCTAATCAGGAACGGCTCAAGCCGCAGGAAGAGAAAGCCGAGGAAGATAGATCTAAAGTCGACGATTTGAGAGGATCGCCCATGAGCGTGGGTAATTTGGAGGAGCTGATCGATGAGAATCATGCGATTGTTTCATCGTCAGTTGGACCGGAGTATTATGTTGGGATTTTATCTTTTGTGGATAAGGATCAGTTGGAGCCTGGATGTGCTATTTTGATGCACAATAAGGTAAATTAAAGGCTTAAGCTTTCTGGATTTTTGTTTATTTTTTATTTTTATGGTTAAGGATCTGAGATTTTTAAAGGAAAACTGAAGTATTTCATCCGAAAGGACACTGATCTATTGTGGTGTGTGTATATTTATATTTATAAATTTAGTATCAGTGCTGGGTGATTATATTATTTTTATATCAGCTGCTGCAAGCTAAAAGAACTGTTGCAATTTAGAATGATGATTGGGTTAATATCTTATGTGAGAGAATTCTTGTGAAATTGATGACCTTTACAAAGATGAACTTTTAGTTACTTGTTTAATTCTTAAATGGGTCCAACGAGCTCAAGCATGGGATGTATCATCTCAGAGTGCTGGTCCAAAATATTAGTATACAGCTCTTATTATCTTGAGGGTTTAGCATCTCTTCGATCCCTCGTAATTTCTTTGTTTTCGAAAGAAATTTATGATTGGTTATTGTATGTTCTCAGGTTCTTTCTGTTGTTGGACTTCTGCAAGATGATGTTGATCCAATGGTATCAGTGATGAAGGTCGAAAAGGCTCCTTTGGAATCTTATGCCGATATAGGAGGTTTGGATGCTCAGATACAGGAGATTAAAGAGGCAGTTGAGCTCCCTCTTACCCACCCTGAACTATATGAAGACATTGGTATCAAGCCTCCAAAAGGGGTTATCTTGTATGGAGAGCCTGGGACAGGCAAGACCTTGCTCGCAAAGGTGCGTCTTTGTGTTTGAAGTTTATACTCTTACAGCATTTCTGTAGATCTTTTTTCGTATAAAGTTAGATCTTATTTTATATCACTTTATGTACTTTCAGGCTGTGGCTAATTCTACATCAGCAACTTTCTTACGTGTTGTTGGCAGTGAATTAATTCAGAAGTACTTGGGAGATGGTCCCAAGTTAGTTAGGGAACTCTTCAGAGTTGCCGATGACCTTTCCCCTTCTATTGTCTTTATTGATGAAATTGATGCAGTTGGTACTAAGAGGCAAGTCGGTGAAAAAGTTATACCTTGATGGATATACCTTGGAATCTTTCTCATTAATCTGCCATACAGGTATGATGCCCATTCTGGTGGTGAACGTGAAATTCAGAGGACCATGTTGGAGTTGCTGAACCAATTAGATGGCTTCGACTCAAGAGGAGATGTCAAAGTGATTCTTGCAACAAATAGAATTGAAAGTCTTGATCCAGCTTTGCTTCGTCCTGGTCGAATTGATAGGAAGATTGAATTCCCCCTGCCCGACATCAAAACAAGGAGGCGCATTTTCCAGGTATGTGATTATCTCATGAGAGTGCTGATTCTCTGTATCAAACATGTTTCATTATTCTCTTGTACTCATAAAGTTTTGCTCTTTCAAATCTTTGGACTACAGATACACATCAAAGATGACGCTGGCTGATGATGTGAACTTGGAAGAATTTGTGATGACTAAAGATGAGTTCTCTGGAGCTGATATAAAGGCAATATGTACTGAGGCTGGTTTGCTTGCTTTAAGAGAGCGACGCATGAAGGTTAGACTTGTTAAATTCATAATAATGAAAGTTTTTGCTCTTCTTTTCTTATAATATATGCAGGTATATTTTCTGACATATTAAGCTTAATTTACAAAATTACACCCTCGATCCATAGGTAATGGAATTGAAACCTGATTGATACTTTTACTACCATACAAGTTCAACACTTCAAGGTTACATTCTCGATATGCATGTATTAAAATCAAAAGCTGGTCTGATGGCAATTATAATAGCAAATCTTTTGCAAATTGCCATGCATGCATTCGTGCATCTAATTATGCTTTCTCTTCTATTTTTTTCCATACGATACGCTGAAATAATGCTATATATCATTATTAGCGAGGGGGAAAAGGATTCATTACAGAAATATTCTGTTACACTCGTTCGAGCAGTCTGCAGGGTTGTGTGAGTTAAGATCTAGGTTTTTTTTCAAAAAAATAATAATAATAAAGGTGGGAAAAAGTGTAAACTATATTGTCAAAACGTTTGGCACTGCAAGCTTCAAAGGTCTTTAAGAAACCGCATTGAACTCCCCTCTCAGCAAGCAGAATGCTTCACACATCAATTTTAGGTTATTTTTCTTGGTAATCTACTTATAATGCAGTGATAATACTGCAAATGTGTGGCTGTATTAGAGTGTAGACGGTGAGAATATAGATGCAAAGGATCTCCTATATGTCATCTATTGGTTTGTGGCTGATTTTAAAAGATGGTTTGTTTCAGGTGACACATGCAGACTTTAAGAAGGCCAAGGAAAAGGTGATGTTTAAAAAGAAAGAAGGGGTTCCAGAAGGACTTTATATGTAGCAGAATTACTTGGTTTTAGCAATATTTCCTCAGTGCTGTACTTGTTATTCTGGATTCCTTCTGTTCTTCTTCCTCCTTTTTAAGCATTTTGAAGCCTAAAAAAGCTGTAAACCTTTTGAGACATTTTACAAGGAGACTTCTTTGCGTGATTTCTTGGCTGCTGCTTTAAGGCTTGAGAGTTCATGCTCTTCTTTTAATTTTAATATTATCTCAGGCAAGAATGAGAATATAGAAAAGGGTTGGTAGTAGATAAATAATTAGAGATTTTGGAAATTAATATAAAAAGGGTATTTGGTTGCAAAGCCATTTTATTATTCAGTTTTAATTTTGAGATAGAACTCAAGTAAAAATACCTTTATAATTTTATTTTAATGATTAACGATAACAAATTACTATAATTTTTTGAAATTAATAAAAAATAATTTTTAAATATTTTGTTAGTTAAATTATCGTTATTTTATTAGTTTTATTTTTTTGTAAAATTATTTTGTTAATTATTAAAACAAAATTTTGGAATGACTTTTCTTTAGTATTACCTTTTCTTCAGATCATCCAAAATCAATATCGAATTGTAAAATTTAATTAAAATTCAATAAGATTTTTAAAGTTTATCTGCAAATTTCAATGATATAAATGTGGGGTTGTAAATTTTTTTAACATTGTAGAGTGATTATATTTGTTTATAACTTTCTTAATTAATATGTAGTCGTAAATTTGTTCATAAATTGGAAGTAGAATGAAAGTATCAAATAAAAATAATTTTAATGATTTTTAATCTTTTAGATTTGTTTTATTTTTAAATTTAGGTATTAAAAATAATTATTGTTCTCAACAATAATTTCCAAGATTGTTGGAATTACTGGGTGCGACTGTTAAGTAAAATTTGATTTAATTTTTTAAAGTATTTTTTTAATTTGATTTGATTTAAAATATTTTAAATTATAAAATAGAAATATTATGATTTAAATAAAATAGTTTAAACATTCATTTTCATTTAAAACTTTAATCAAAGGCCTCCAAATTCCAATCCAATTTCCCCAACTGTCGTCCACAAGGCTTTTACATTACAAGTGCCCCCCCGTCTTCTTCCTTGGTAAGTTCTTCGCTTCCCTTTCCTCTTCTTTTAACTGTTTTCATTTATGGCTGTATTTGTTTATTTTACACCTTCCATTTTGTTGTTGTTCTGTGGCATGTTTCAAGACACATAAAGGTATGAATATGATTCCCACAATTTCTTCCATTCCATCTTTTCTTCACGTATGTTGCTAAGTTTTTGAATTTTGCTTTAAATTACGGGCGTTTCTTGGGTTAATGCTTTCTCATCAACTTGTATTCTGTAAAAAGATTAGCTTAGCATGCATTATACTTTTTCTTTACCAATAGCAAGAAAGCATTCTGGTGAAGTTGAATATGTGTTGCCTTAAAGAACCGAACCAATGGTTTATGGTCAAGTTTTTGCAAACAAAGATTATAAGGAAATTTTGGGTTTATTGTCCTTTTAACCTGCTAGCACTTTGGAGCTGAAGCCATAAGTTGGCATTGTCACCTGTGATGTTAGAAATGGGGGCTGATATCTTTTATGGATGATGCAGAAACCCCCAGTGTGAAGCCAGAGTCCATTCAAGAAAAATCTGGTGAGAACTTTGACTCAACTGGATGTTTCTCAGTAAATATCATGCTTCTTTTCTCTCGTTAATGATGCTTGCGCTTTTAATGTATTTGGTGTTCTAAAAATGTTCTTTTTATAGATTGGTACATGTTGAAAGGTAAAAAGTTATTTCATACCGAGGTTGGGGCCTTGGGGTTGCTTTTCTTGTGATAAATTCATAATTTCTCTTCTGCTTTGCTGGTATCAATAATATCAACACTCCTCTTCTGGTCTGTTCAGTAATCCGTACCAAGGTTTATGTAACTGGAAATCAACTGCAAATATAACTGATATGTATTTCAACTCGAGTTGGGTTTAACCAGAAAATAACTTAGCTAAGGGGTCTATTTCAGGAAGCGAGCATTAAAAAAAAGATTGATTATTTCTAGCTCATGTTGGCCTTTGCTCTATCGTACCAGAGTAATCTAATTTAGAATCATTGTCTCTGAATACTGCAGGAACCCCTAGTGTGAACTCAGGGTCTGTTGATGAAGTTGTAACAACTATTGTCAAGTCAGAGTCCACATTAATGATGCGGTGAACCCCGGTGTCAAGCCAGAATTATCTGAAGGAAGATCCAGTAAGCACTCTGTTCATCAATTGCTTGTTTTCGATTGATTTAATTCCATAGTATATAAATTCAAAAACTGTGTTTTATGTTTATCCTTGGATGCTTATTTTCACTTTTTCAGAAAATTTGGTAAATAAACAGTCTTTTGATGAATCGTTCTCCTTGTCAATTGTCTGCTACAACGTTTAAAAACCTTATTCGTACTTTGTTTTCGTATGTGCTATATTATGAACTTCAATATCTGTTAATGCTTCTTAAGAACCTTCATCAAGACTTATCATCAATGAAAGCTACCATTGCATTTAAGATCGAATGCTTTTTGTACTTTTATGGTTTTAAAGGCAGTGCAAAGGAAACATGTTTGCTTGCTTGCTTGACATGTTACAGTGTAAATTTTTTTGGAGATCATCCCAACTCAAACAACTTATTCAAGCCCTCCTTTTCTTTTCCTGGAACTTTCAAAAGCTCAAATGTTATTTGTTTCATATCTATTAGGTGTAATCCAGGATTTCAGGTGGAAAGGAAACTAGAAGTTGATGACCCGAGTGAAGTGCTACAAATAACGCAGATGCAGGCTATTGGCATTGTGTTAGACTTTAGTAGAATAATTTTTGCATTTGAGAGTAGGCCGAATGCGTTGCTTTTAGCTAGATTTGGTTCGCATCAAGTTTTTCCACCTGGACCCAAAAAGATTATCCACATCAGCTAATTGATTCTCTGGGTTTCGTTCCGCCCCCGATTTAGATGTACAGTAGAAGCTTGAATGAGACCCAGCTTAGGATGATTGTTCAATGTTTTCCTGATCCAGAGAACCTCTAGATAAAACTGTCTTTATGCCAAAACTGATTAAATCCCTTCACACAACTGTTTAAAGCTACCATGTTCGTCATGCAGCGTCTTCCGGTGAAGTCCGTGAAGCTTTGAAGGATGAACATCTTCAAAAACTTCTCTACGATATTGATAGCTCCCCGGACGCATTGAATGTCGGTTCTGTTCTTCCTACTTGGAAAACCTTGATTCCTTTTTGCTGATGGTCAAGTCACGTGCCTGCTAAATCCGGTTTTGCTTCTTGTTAGGAGCTTGACAAAGCTATGGGAGTGGATGTTTTCCGCATTTTGAGTGATAAGGTATTTTACTATCTTCAACTTGTGCAATCCTTTAGTTGTACATCTACTTCAATAATATTCATATGCTCTTGTGTACACTGTTTTATTGCATCAAGATCAGTTTTGTTTACGAGGATGGGGTTTTAACATTGTGAATTATGAGATCTCTCAAATATGTAAAAATTGATTATTCCGAATCGAGCAATCTGCTAACATAGGGCTCAAGGGCCTATCATTGTTATAGAATGAACTCTGTATCTGCCATAGGATGTCGGTCAACGTTCCGAATCCTGAACAGAATTGTCTTCTTTGCCTCATTATCTTCCATCTTCTGACATTTTCAGATTTGCCCATACAGTCCTGCCCTACAGTTTCAGTTATCTCTATCAAGTATTCACATAGCCTAACGAACAGGAGAGTGAGCAGAGTGTTGTTGAGCTCGATTCAACTCGAAATTAAAGATTGAAGTCCGAATCGAGTTCCAAAACTTAAACTTAAAACATTCTTAGATTTAACTCGATTGAAGCTTGAACTCGAGTTTGATTTAAGCTTAAACTCAAGTTCGATTAAGCTCGAACATGAACATTAAGTACATGAAAATCTTATATTATATTTTTTATAACATGTAAAAGTTAATATTATTAATAATTTAATTTAAAAAATTAAAAATTTGATACACGGAGTATTTTTTTGAGTTGCTAGTGAGCTTCTCAAGATGGTTATCAAGTAGTTCGTTTTGATTTATTAAAAATTTGAATCGAGTTAAAGCTCAAGTTGAGTAGTGTTAATTGAATTTCGACATAATTGAACTCGAGTTGGTTGATGGAGATGTCGGCTTCTCTTGGTTGGGGGATGATTGGTGGGCCTGCCTTTACTGGGGGAACATTGTCCCAGACCTCAAATTGCACTGAAAAAAGAGTAATAAAAAAATTGGGAACAATGACCATTCTTCATGTTCACCTTTTCAAGGTTCAGAGAATTGGGGCAAAGTTCAACTAAAATGCAATTTAACCCGAATTTGACGGGTTTTGATCCGATAGGATCAGATTTTTTTTTTTAAATTCGGGTTTAGGTCGGGGCGGGTTGAACTTTTTAAGGGGTGAGATCGAGTCGGGTTCGGGTGGAGGGTGAAAAAACTCCGAACCGGGGATAACAATGTAATTTCCTTAAAAATTTTATTATTTTTTAATTAAGTCTTTATTTTATATCAGGTAGGGTCGGGTGGAGTGTATATATTTTTCGAGTCGAGTTAGGTTTGGTGGAGGGTATAAAATTTCGTGTCGAGTTCAGGTGGAGGGTGCAAATTTTCGGGTCGGGTTGACAAAAAACCCGACCCGTTGCCATCTCTAAGTTCAACATAAAAGCTGAAACTGAAAAAAGAAATTTTAAGGGAACATAGAGCCTTCTCTCCTTTGCATCTTTTTGAGGTTCAGAAGACAGCTGGGGAAGATACAGCCTCATGTCTACAGGTTTGAGACCTAAAGGCTAAAGCAAAAAATTCTCTTAAAATGTTCTGAAACTCTGTTTGAATATTTACATCTCTGCTGAAACTAAACAAAATAAATAAATATATATACCTTATGGATTACAATCATAATAAAATCTGGAGAAAATGGAGGGGGAGACAAATAAGAGAACAAGGAAATTATTTGTACTGGTGGTATAATAATTTTACATGTTAGCTAATGTTCTCTTTACAGCACTTTAGAAAGACCAAAACCTTATCCAGAGAGTGTCCATGCATGATTTTCAACCTGCAAATGCATAGGAAAATGTTGTGGATTGAAAAGGGGATGAGTCTAAAATATAACTGTTTAATATAAGACTGAAAAAAGGTAGAAATGTTCTCTTTAAGCTAGTATAGCGTTGTTTTTTTAGAGTAAATTGGGTAATTTTTTATGTTGAAATCGAAAATATCATGTTTTTCATAATAATTCATCTAAATTACATGATTATTCCGGTTACAACTTAAAAGGTTATCATCAAGACATTTTTGATTTTAGTCTAAATTATTATCAATTGTATAATCTTTTAGAATAGACAGTTAATATTTTAGGCTAAAATCTGTCGAAATATAACATTATCGGTTGTAACCGAAATTATTACCAATTGTATAACTTTTTATGTTGGGCATGGTAACATCTTAGGTTAAAATCTGACCATAAATTAGCCTTAGATTAGACCACCGCACATCAGAACAACCCTTGAAAAGAGCATCGTGCTGAAGCAACAATGGATCAACATCCTAAACATTGTATTAGAAATCATCCATGATTGGACCATTTCAGCGTACTATTCGAGTTCTATATACTTGGTAAACTTATGCCAGCAGGCCCTGATCATGAAGTCTATTAGAGGGGGTTCATGGCATTTACCGTCTTCTTATTTCCCATCCACACAATGCTTTCGGCAACAATCTTTTAATAATGTACAACTATAGAAGAACGCACGCACCTGATTGGTGATTTTCAAGATTCTCGGCCGAGCTGGCACTAGGTTTACTAGAACTTGGCTGTGCCGTTGCTTGACCCTGTAAAAGTTGAAATTCGTAATCAATACTGCATGCTCATCAAAACTGTGATCTTAATGTGTTTGAGCTGGTTAGATCAGACATTTTAGGAAAATTTTCTATAGGAAGGACAAAATTAGAAATTTACCTGTGGATGGAGTATTTGCATCTGTTGAAGACTGAGATGCTGCTGATCAGGACCAGCCAAATTTGGAACTTGTGGCTGGTTCGGGTTTAGCATTGCATCTGGCTGGTTGTTCGGTTGGGTTCTCAATGGATCGGAAGTTGGAACTGGTTGTGGCATATTAAAGGCTGGCATAGGAAACCTTGGACCCAAATGTGCCGCAGCAGTTGATGTCGGTAATCCTGAGCCAGCCAAGACATTGGGAAACGGCATCATTGGCCTACTTATTCCCATATCCATTCCCATGGCCATGCCCATCCCCATCCCAATTCCCATTCCCATTGTTGGCATGTATTGCTGAATACCAGGAAACATCATTGGGACCATGCCACAGCTCATGGCCATCATCTACAAAAAGTTGAGTCTAGTCTCAAATATAATTTTCAAGCTCATTCCGCATCATTACGTGAAATGTCAATAGTACATAACAATCATAATTTAAAAGTATGTCACTAACATTAACCAAACAATTACCTGAACTTGCAACTGAAGTGATTTTAGGTATTCAATTGCCTCATCCAGCATTGATGCTTGTCTGACTAAGACTCGGGAATATGCGAAGTCAATAACGTTAGAAAGAGGAATAACTAAATCAGGAATAACAAACCTTGTTGCAACGAGGTATAAGTTCTTGCAAAGCCTTCATCTTTTCATTTATCCTGTCTCTCCGTCTCTGCACATGAATGGGATATTACACCTCTAAACTAGGGAATGCGGTTACACAAGAATGCCAAATTCATTAACAGTAGTGTAGCGTTAATGAAATCTAACCCTTTCTGAGAGGTTATGGACCTCTGCAGTACGAGACCTTTTTGTAGACGTTGATCCACGTGGTTTCGTTGTGTCAGCGCATTCAAACTCAGCATCCTTTGGCCATCATAAGATTATCAGTGAAAGGCAAGAGAGGAATTTTGATAGAAAGAAGAAAAGAAAAATGTTTGATGCCTCCATAATTAAAATCTATTTTGGTTCCCAACATGTACATGTAGAACATGATGTAAAATAACCCCTTTTTTAATGAAAAAATCCCACATTAATGTGTCTCAACAGGGATGGACTAAGGTGAACAAGTGAAATAATCGTCTCTTAAAATTTCAAATTAAAATGCCCGTCCAGCTCAGTTGGTAGAACATAAGGCTCTTAACCTTGTGGTCGTAAGATCGAGTCCCACGGAGAGCATTTCATAATTCGGAGGTCTCTACGGAAGTTGCTATCAACTTGACGTTGGGGGCAGCCTACTATCATACCTCCCCGTTACCCCATTACATATGGGAAAAAAGGGTCAGCTAATTTTTCTTTTAAATTTTCTTTATATTTTCTACAAATTATCTATTTTCATTCCTCGGAAATTTATAAGTTTATCACATTCTAAAATTTTAAAAGTTCGTCTTACCTAACATAAAACTCTGTGTAAGTCCTACATGTCAATACCTAAAGATGGACTAAGGGGGATGGCTGGGGTAGTTATCCCCTGAAAATTTGAAATTATCGTGTATTTTATATTTTGGGTAAAGTACACAAATGATCTCCTGACTATAAGGTGTTGCTTTGTTAAGTCCTCCGACTATTAAAAGTTACAAAATAGTCCTCAGACTATAGAGTGTTACTTTGTTGAGTCCATCGACTATTAAAAGTTACAAAATAGTCACTCAACTATTCATATGTCGAAACTCGTCCTTTTTTGTTAAAAATTGAAGGACTTCTAAGCTGAACGTTAATATGCTAACTAGGATATAATAGTAGTTTGAGATTATATCTCAGTCATCAAGTTAACTTTCGGCTCAGACTATCGTCAATTTTCTAACAGAAAAAGACGTGTTTAGAACATATGAATAGTCAAATGATTATTTTGTAAATTTTAATAGTCAGAGACTCAATAAAACATCATATAGTGGAGGGATCATTCTGTAACTTTTAATAGTAGAAAGACTTAACAAAATAACGTCTTATAGTCGAGGATCATTTATATACAACCCCTTATGTCTTTTATGTATTTTTTATTAAAAATATTTTCATACCCGTAGAATTTTAGAAGTCTATCTCTATTTGAAATTTTAGAAATTCGTTAATTAGTATAAATTTTGTGCCCGTTATTATGATTACCTAATATTGCCTAAATGGCTAATTCTTTCACAAGTCCCTACGTCCCTTGACATGCATGATAAAGGTAACATTAAGCTAAACGAAAACTGGAAAACACTAAAGAATGTTTTAAGCAACAAAAGAATCCCAAAGAGTAAAAACTATCCAAAAGCAAACTGACAATGACAATCAGGGGAATAATTGGGAGGGGAAACCCCAGTCCCGTGATACGCGCCATTAATCCAATAATTTATTTTTTAAAACTTTAAGCCCCATTCTTTTGTCTATTTTTTTTAATCCTCCCCAACCGTCACCAAATCCATGTTGACCTCCCCTATCTACCCCAATAGTATCAAACACGTGGCATATTTCAACTCGGATAATGATGAAACGTGTATATTTCACAAACAGTGCAAAATTAAAAGACGAACAACTGCGGCGCACGTTAGCGGAGTAGCGAGGAAAGAATTTTACTCTAATAAACTAACCTCACTCTGACATTCGGCTTCGTCCGGTTCTCTTCCTTTACGCTTCCGGTCCTCAGCCGGGGCCGCCTTTTGAGCCCTCGGTTCGGGGATGGCACTGTAGCCTTTAGGTGGTGATGTCACCTTGACCTCGCACGTGGCTAAATTGTCCTTGTTGGCAACCGTGGTGACACCTGCTGATCTAGCGTTGGCAACTGGAGCGGCGCCCATGTTGGCGCTGGCATTGTTGTTGTTTCCACCAGATGCCGTCTCGGTGTTGCTTGGCCTGGCCTGGGAGGCGCCCCGTTCGGGAGCTATCGATGGAGTATAGCTGGAATCGACAACCGTCAGTTGCCTCTCTACGCTCTTCAAATTTGACGGTTGAGATTGCTCCGCCCTCGCCGTTTTATGCCTGGAGAAGTGAACAAAGTTATGGATCGTCGTCGATTCCAACTCATTCCTCCTCGGAGGCGGCATCAGGGGCCTAGAACCTGACGCCGCAGCAGGGCCAGGAACTTGATTAACTTTTCCGAGCGGAGGAACGGAGGCCGCGGTGGAATGATAGAGGAGATCAGCGCCGAAATCGTGGTCGAAGTTGGCATCGTTGAGAGGATATTGAAGCCACGGAGCCATTTCATCTTCTTGCACGAAGAGATGATCGGTAACCGATAGTTGTTGCTGCTGATGAGACAATGGCGACGCTCGGATCTCTCTAGGAGCTGATTGGCCGGCGCCGTGGAATTTAAACGTCGGAGACTTCTTGAGAGATGTTTGGTTTTTTTGGCTCTGCATAACAACTTGACCATTTTCCCACGAAAGCTCCATGATTCCGTCTTCCGGCCTGCTTCGCAACTTCATCAGTTTATCAACCACAATTCCCCCCAATAGTAGATTAAACAAAAAGGAAAGAAAGAAAGTATGAGCTCACATGGAAGGTCTCTTAGGGCGAGCTGAGGTAGAAGATGAAGGAATTGGATAATCGTCTTCCATTTCAAAATCAGGTAAGCAGGGATTCATCCTCTCTACTATCTCTCTTAACACTGTAAAATTGGAGAATTGTTTCCTATTCTTCTAAAAAATACTAACTTATAAGCGAGTGTTATCTTGGCTGATGCTTTTTCTGCAGCTGCCATTGAGGTTGAAAAATTTGCAGAGAAAAAGGAAAACGTAAATGAAAATAAAAATAAAAATTCATGGTGAAAAGAGAAAGCACTCTTAACGTTGTATTATATGCCTCGTTCGCAATGTTAATAAACAGAGAAGAGAAAAAAAATAAAATATTTTTTGTGTTTTAAAAGTCTATTGCGGGCTGATGCACTCCCACAGATAGGGGTTCATCTGTTCTGTCTCTCTCCGAATATTATAAAGAAGAAGACTCGACCAAGTTGAATTTTGTGAATATGTGAACCTTTACTTTATTTATTATTCCCCGACTTTTCCTTTAAAAAAAAAATCAAATTGATTCAATTTTCTCCTCTCGATCTAGTATTTTTTTTAAAGATTTTTTTAATTTTAAATAATATATTTTTGTATAATATAAAATAATAATACAGCCAATTTTCTTTCAAGAGCACGATTAATTAGGCATGTTTTTACCTTACATTATATAAAATGCCAATGACAAATTATTTTTTATTTAAATAAAAATACGTGTTTTATAAAACAAAACTTTTGGGGGTTATAAAATGTCCATTTTAGTATGTATTTAAGTTTATTATGACATGTCCTAATTAAAAGATTGTTTTACAAAAAATAATTATAATTTATTGAGTCCCTGAATTATTAAAATTACAAATAATCTCCTAATTAGGATGTTGCCTTATTGAATCCCTCGATTATTATAAGTTACAAAATGATCATCTGATTATTCAATGTGTTCCAAACTTGTCATTTTTTCTTAAAAAATTGATGATAGTTTGAGTTAGATGTTAACATACTGGCTAATATATGATAGTTGTTTGATATTCTGATATCAGATTATATCATATTTTAATCAACAAGTTAACCTGCAACTCAAAATGTAATCAATTTTTTAATAGAAAATGATGAGTTTGGAACACAACGAATAATCAACTGACTATCTTGTAACTTTTATTAGCCAATGACTCAACAAAGTAATATCATATAGTAAGATGATCATTTTGTAATGTTAAATAGTCGAGAGACTCAATAAAATAACACTCTATAGTTGAGGGACCATTTTTTTTACTTTGCACTAAAATTTATTTCATCATCACTATTTTCAAATATGTTTAGTTAATTGTGGGGCCGAGCAGTGGGGATGGTGGATGGATAAGATACAAGCAGTCCCTTAATTCATAGGGACTGTCCCTTCACATTGTGGCATACCCTATGAACATCCGAAATTAATTTGGATCGTTTTGTACTTGCAAATTATTATATATGTATATATAATGATTTCAAGCCTAAATGTACATTTAAATGAACGGTTCAATGTAACTGGAGGGTCTTATAAAAAAGTCTAGATCAATTGAGTGGAGATGTTCCTCAAACATCAAACTCATCATCGTAAATGTAGGGCACTCATAAATAATTTATATATTGAAAATAAATAACATCCGTTTCTTAATTTTATTCCAGCTAAGTAAAGTGGCCAAAAATCATAAAATTAAATTTATTTATTCCTAATTAATGTACTAAAATATCTTTCAAAAAAATATACTCAAATATCAGTAATATAACATTCCTACCAAATGTAGTATTAATGTTAAATGCATTCAATTTAGAGAAGTTGCAGATCCAAAATATTTTTTAGGGTACACAAACATATGTTAACAATATAAATTTTTTAAATGGAATGAATACAATTAAAATTTAAGGTGGACAACGTTAATATAATAAATAAATAATAAAAACAACTCAAATTTTAGGGTGAGCAAGAAAAATTTAGGGTGGACACCATTAGTAAAATAAGTAATAATCGAAAATAATTCGGATTTCAAGGTGAGCACCCACCAAGCTATGGCTCCGCCATTGATTTAGCGAGGAGAGTTTCAACGAATTTGTGGCTTCAATATGGACTCTTCCTATTGTTGATTTATTAGTTCAACAGACAGCATATCGGAAGCAGAGATATACAATTTTATGGATGAAGCATGGTGGGGGCGAATACAAAATATTTTCATCTAATAGACCCCTAAAAGACATCAGTTTAATCACATTTTGGCTTTATTAAATTGGGATGGTTAATCGCACGAACCAAATCACCTCAAGTGATTTTAATGGTTGAAAGGATGATTATTATTTTCAGAGTTCTTAGGTTTGAGCACTAACAACTGCATAATATTTAAACATTTATTGTCAAATTATTGAAAGTCTTTATAACATATATTATCACTTATAATCACCCAAGATTAATTAAAGGGATTGCTTTAATTTGAATTTTTTCTCTTTTAATCTAATTAATTTTAATTGGGTAAACTTTGTATAATCATTTTTCCTTTTCATTTGACCACTAATGTTAAAATTTTATTAGTCAGATTATTTAATTATATGATATTACTTTATTAAGTTCATCGACTATTAAAAGTTACACACTAGTCTTCTGACTATTGAGAGTTGCTTTGGTGAGTCCCTTGATTATTACAAGTTACAAAATGATCACCAGACTATTCATTATGTTCCGAACTCATCATTTTTCATTAAAAGTTTGACGACAGTCTGTATTATACATTAACTTGCTAACTAATATATGATAAAATATGATCTCATAATCTTAAACGACTATAATATCTCAATCAATATATTAACATCCAGGTCAAACGACCATTAATTTTTCTAACAGAAAATGACGATTTTGGAGTATAATGAGTAGTTGAGTGGCCATTTTATAACTTTTAATAGTTGGGTGACTAAATAAAGTAACTCCCTATAATTAATGAAATATTTTATAAATTTAATAGTCAAATGATTTAATAAAATAATATTATGTAGTTGAGTAACTATTTATACTTCACTCTTAATCATTTAAGTGTGACAATCAACTATTTGACATTATATTTAATGAATTCTTTTTAATTATCGTTAACGATTAAACACTTCATATGATAATTTTAAAAATTTAAACACCTACTTTCAGAAAGAAAAACTTTAACATTTAAGTTAACGAAAAATATAATTTAAGCCCTTTTTTCTAACTCAAATTAACTTAAATAATAAAATTAAAAAAATATTTTTATTATAATCAATAAGGTAATGCATTGTTCAACTTGAAGACGTGGCATAAAAGGGGTGGGTGAGAGTGTAACGTAGCGTCCCTTTTATCTTCCGGCTGACCTAATAATCACGGTGAGTATTCTATCGAGTAAAATTAAGTAAAAAAAATTAAGTTATTCAAGTTGATGATTTTTATTTTATAATTCAAAATTGACTTAAAAAAATTTCAAGTCGAATTAATTTGATTTTTTAAGTTTCTGCTTAAATTTAATTATAAATTTTTATAATATTATGATAGTATTTATTTTAATTGAAATGGTTTTTATAACCATATACTATACATATATTTTTTCATTTTTTATATGTGATATATATATATATATCATATAAATTTAAGGAACTCGAATCAAACTTAAAAAATAATTCACTAATTACTAATAATTTTGAGTTATATGAGTTGTATTCTAAACTCGATTTGAATTTAAAACTTTTTCGAATTAAGTCGAGTTTATAAAATTATAATTCGAAATCGGAAAAAAATCAATTTTTCGAATTGACTAAGTATTATTGACCGCTAACAACCATCTCGCCCCCAGCGCCAACCAATTTATGGAAGTAGGGGGAACAAAGCAAATCAATTGTTTTTATTTTTTATTATTAAAGTCAAATCCTTCATTTACAATTTGGGTTTAATTATTTAGCTTCATTTGATCATTAAAACCAGCCAATGTCGCTCCAATAGTATAATTCTTTTATATATATATATATATATATATATATATAACAATTCTGCCTAGGAGGTGCTCCTAATGGGTATTGAACCCACAATCTAAAGAATAAGTGTTTGCAAAAAAGATGTATTATTAAACATCATTCAAAAGATAATCCTCCATGCTTGCAAAAAAGACAACTCAAAACTTGCCACCAACTGTTTACGTACAAATTATATTCCAGATAAACTAAGTTGATTAAGAGGAAGTGAGATGAATTGATGGTTGATGTTTTATTGTGCCATATAAATCAAGAGAAAACAAGTACTTTAGCTGGTCTCGAAAGAAAACTATATAATTTTGTTGGACAAATAGAGTAAAAAAAGAACACTATGTTTCAGACATAAACATTACCAAATGCAAGGCAAAATGACTCCAGTGTTGGAACTCACCAAGAGGAATATAAGAATCTCTTATAATGATATGAAGCCTTATTGTCAAACTCCCACATTACGCTCCATCCTCAGCGGGGGGGGGGATTATATTAGCAATGAGCTCTACCTATAACCAGAAATGAACACTCGTGCAGACCAAGAATCATGTTTCATGGACTTACTTGCATAACCACAAAGCTCCCCACCCCAAAGAAATCATTTTGTTGACTTCCATTAACACCCTTCAATCTTCATAGAATTACATTTGTCTCAAGTCTTGTAGGAATATTTAAGCTAATGTTTTCCCCTTCCTATTACCAACTCTCAGCATATGTTTCCCTATACTATTCCTGCATCGAAAAATCAGTTTTGTATTGGATTATTTACGATTGTACAATCGTTCTTTGGAAAAATCATATGAACTATCTTCCCCGCTACCCAGAATAAGATTCTTTACTAACGCGCTATGGGCTTTGATGCTTACGCGCCTTAGCACGCAAAATATTGCCTTCCCAAATAAGCTAAGTGGAGCTCTTGCCCTGTCATATTGGTCACTCCCTTC